AGGTTCCAAAAAGGCTGGAGAGAGGCTGTTCTCAGTAGTGACACATGGCAGAACAAGGAGCAATGGTCTCAAGTTGCGGTGGGAGAGGTCCAGGTTGGATATTAGGAAAAATTATTTCACTAGGAGAGTGGGGAAGCACTGGGATGGGTTCCCTAGGGAAGTAGTGGAGTCTCCATCCCTAGAGATGGCTCGACAAAGCCCTGGCTGGGTGGATTTAGTTGGGATTGGTCCTGCCTAGGGCAGGGGGCTGGACTTGATGACCTTCTGAGGTCTCTTCCAGCTCTATGGTTCTATGGTTCTATGATTCCTGCCCAAAGCAGGACCAATCCCAACTCAATCATCCCAGCCAGGGCTTGGTCAGGTCTGGACTTAAATGCCTCTAGGCAACTCCCCATCACACCAGAATGCTCAACAGGATTCACCTTGATCTGTGATGATCTTCTGGTGACGGGCTGTTCCTGCAGACACCTGTTGGATCTGGCAATGTTGTTTTCAATGTGCTGATAACTGCCACACGCTATTTCTCGGCCTTCGGTCTCTGGCTTAGAACATTTTGAAAGAAAAATAGCCCCTGAAACCAGTTAGTACAATGCAAGTGTCAGGATGCCGCATCTTTGTTATCATTAAAAATTCAAATGCAATCTATATATTACACCCTCGCTTTGGAAAGAGGGAAATTTATTTTCTCTAATAACTTAGCTGGTTGGGATTTAAAAATATATATATAAGGGGAAACCTTGTGTGCGGCATATAAAAAAATATCGGGGGAACTGATTCACCCTTTTTTGGTCTAATTTTACAAAGGCTTAACTCCATTGACTTCAACTGTACCCAGGTAATGTTGAAGTGGGACCAGCCTCACAGTATTTCTGGATTCATCATATACGGTCCTCAAGATACGGTCTCTCTGCTGTCTGCTCCCTAACTTTATCTTTGTTTGTTTGGAGAAAGGTTCTTACAAGTACCAGTTGTAATGGCTGCTAAATCCCAGCCCGCATAACAAACTAAAGTAAAACAAGGTGGGACGTGGGTGTAAACGCGGCGTTGTTGTTGGCATACAACTTGAATTACTTTGAGGAAAGGGTTTTTTTATTTCCTCCTTACTTGAATGGCTCCTTGGGAAAGGCAGACCTCTGCTTTTACATTTTTGTTGTTCCGATTGAATCAATCTTGTGGTCAGCTTTGGAAAAAAAAAAGTCTCACAATGAGGCGGAATTGACAGGTCTGACAAACAGCGTGATTGATTGTGGTTGGGAAAGTGGTCCTTGAAGTGAGGCATGTAACACAGAGATGCCTTCACTCCGCTGGGGGAAATCCAACAAAGCTTTTTTTTCCCAGAACACTGAGCACACAGACTTTGTAATGGGTGGCCGTATGAACTTAATAATAGCAACATTGTTGTAACATAAAGCATCTGCCAGGACCTAATATGATTAATTATACGTCCCTCTCTCTCTTGCTCTCTTTTTCTCTTTTTTTCCCCCCAGGTAGCTGGAATTTGAAAAACATTCTGCAAATGCAAAAATGTAACTGCGCTGTACTGTAGAACTCCAGTTCCCAACAGTGAATTCCCTGGCCAATAAAGTGCATACACAGTTAAGAAACACACTGCTGAAAGATTGTTCATTTCCATTATCCACAACTATGCAGCAAACAATTGCCATGCAATGTACTTTTGGCAAATTATATGCCTTCAGCCAGAGGTACATGAAAGAAAACATGGAAATGTCAAACATTCAGAGTTATAAATATGTTAGTGATATACTCTGCCAACTAGAGAGGCAAGGTTACTGTTTTCAATAGGTAATTTGTTCCAGATAAACCTGATTTTAATACTGCAGCAATGACATCACCCAAAAGGTACTAAGTCAGTGGTTTTCAACCTGTGGTCCGCAGACCCCGAGGGTCTTCAGATGGTTCAAGATTTCCACTAGGGTCTGCACCTTCATTTGACATTTTTTAGGAGTTCACAAATTCTAAAAGGTTTAGAAACAACAACAAGGAGTCCTGTGGCACCTTAGAAACTAACAGATTTAATAGGCCGAAAGCTTTTCTGGGCAAAACCCACTTCCTCTGACTCCTCTTTCTTCTTAATTCTTCCTTTGTGTTACAACACACGGACTTTAGTGGCTTTGCGGATTATTTCATTGGCTAAGCAAATGGAAAACAAATTCTGTTGGCTGCCAAAAAAAAAAAAAAAATTAGATAGATAATTGGAATGTGGTATCCAATTAATATTCCAAAGAAATCTCATTTTTGTTCTGTTGACCAAGGCAGGCCTCTTGACGTTCACCCTCCCACCGCCCCTAAATTGCCCCTTGGTTTTCTCCCATAAGCCCACAGTCCTTTTTACCTCTATCCCAGAGTTCTGTTGTACACAGGCTTGGTACAAACTCTCACACAGGTCTGGAGGCTAAATACCAACCCTATAAACATTTATGTGTGTGCATAACTTGATGTATGCGAGTATTTATGCATTAAGCACCCGCATAAAACTTTGCCGGACTGGGTAAGGCCTCAGCGCTACAGATTAACAAGTGCTTTAGTTTACTGCTCCTGAGATTTCTGCTGATTTCAACGGGAGTATTCAGGGACAGTAAAGTTTTAAGTCCATGTGTGCCTGTTGGCAGGATTGGACCCTTAGTATGCCCTGGTTCATGGGGCCATCCATTCAAGGCAAGCACCTCTGCTTGTGGCACATGCAATGATTACATAAATGTAACTAATTAGCCAGTGTTTATTCAGCAGGCTGCAAACCCAAAGAGCTCTAGAACCGCCCAAGTGGATGATTATTAAGTACACGTTAAAGGCAGCTGATGGCAGACTTTTATTGCACCCATATTATGAAACGTAAACTCCCATGCAAGACGGTGCCGCTCGGCACGAGAGAGCCAATACCTCGAATTGGGGCGTGCGTTTGGAATGGGGAGGCGATCGGGGCAACTGGAAAAGCTGGCACCTGGAAAGCAAGCAAGCAAGCGTGGGTGGCAGGCCAGAGAAGCAGCCCAGCTAGGGGGTGGCCACAGCTCCCCTAGCTCACTCAGGGCAAGCTCGTGTAAGGATGCGGCCTGTGCCCAGTAGCTCATGACACTCTCCCTACATGGGCTTGTCCCTACGGTGCCACAAGCCTTCTCCTTGGTTTTACAGTTGCAGACTAACCCCCCCAGAAGCTGGCGCTGTCCCGGGTGCCCGGCTGCGGCCACCTGCCCTGTATGTTTCAAGGAGCTGCCCCTTTTGCCCTCTGCCAGGCATGGGACGGCCCCTCCCTCAGCCACAAAGCAGTGCCCCGCCCCCACCCCTTCCCTTGCTGGGGTGGGATGCGCTTTTCGGAGCGGGGGGGG